AACAAGTGAAGTTCCGCGCGACAATTCTACGAGTTACGAGCCGTGCGATTATTCCGCGTTTCGCGCGCGGTGTGTTAAACGGTGAAATTGCGGGATAAAAATTTACAACACTCCCGCAAACGATATTAATTAGTAATTTATCGCGCAATATGGTTCGGATGATAATCATCTGCATCCTGTTCAAATTAATGCTACCTCTGCAATGCAATTGGTATTTATTTGTAGTCGAAATTATAGGGGGTGCGACGGTTTCATTGTGCGAGATTATTTCTTAAATAATTCTCATGTTAATTCACGTTTAACACCGCGCTTTAACAACAGACATTTTTGCAGACGATTTGACCTTTGAAGCGGCTCTCTACTTTGAAACATGCATCGCTGCATACATCCTGAATTATTGTATTTCAATTTGTACAGGTTCGCCTTTGACGAACCGAGGTACCTAAGCCAATTAATTTTTCGAGAATTTCCCCTAGCTAGTTGATCCAAATGCTGATTGTTTTCTCGTTTCCTTTTTACCGCTCGTTGGCTGCTGCCGTTTCTCAACCCTTCTTCAAGATATTTTTCAATTAATTCGTGTAATTGAATTTGTGCCGGTTGCACACTCTCGCGAGCCGCGTTGCACTATGCTCGATTAAACGCCAGCCAGAAATCGTACTCGGGCGTGCGTAAAACACAAGATTGGATGGAGTGCGGTTTGGCAGGCCGAACTCGCGAACTTTCGTGCAAAGTACAAAATATGGCTCACCGGAAGGGATACTGACACCGGCGCAAAAATTGCTCTCCCCCCGGGAGATAAACGTTTCCGGTTCACGCTGGCGCCAACTTCCTTCGAATCGAATGAACCACGGCTCACTTATCAAATTGGATTCTAACTGAACGAAACTCTGCCCTCTCCGCTTTGCAGAGTGAAATTAACGGGCTACAGCTGACGCGTTTCTTTCTCGAACAGACGTAACTATGACTTGGAAAAAACAAACGATTTGTCCCTCCGTCATATTTCACTGTATAATGATGTCTCTCTTACTTTTTCCAATATTATAATATGGTATTATACACGGAATGAATAGAGGACTCGTTTGTAAAATCTATCTCTAAAATCCGCAACTCCCCATTCACGAACCATAGCTAATAAATCTATAAAACATTGTAATAAACGAATGCTATATAACATTACGATTAGACTGCGGATTTGAGGGTTTAAAAATGCACACAACGCACAAAAATGTATGAGCTGTCCGAAGTATTTGTTATAATATTTGATGGGTGAAACGCTTTTTAAATTAATCTCAAAAATATATGAATTTGCTCAATGTATAAAATAATTTAAATAATGAAACGATGTTTAAACAAAATTGACAGACAACAGATTGAATTTTGCAATTATGAAGAACATTTTGCATCTATGATTATTAAACGAAATATACATAATGTATATCATATTTAAACGTATTACAGTATAAATATAAAGTAATTTAATATTAATTTTGATGTAATATAATATTATATAAATATATATTATTAGATGAGTATAAAGAATATAAAGAGATGATTATAAATGAATATAAAGAGAAGATTCTAATCACTCACCATACATTCGCCACCGATGCAAACGTCCATGTTGTCCGCGTAACACTTGGTGCCATCCTCCACCTTGTCAGCGAGCTGGACTACGATCGTTTCTTCGCTGTCGAGCTGCAAAGCGTCGGTGGCATCATGCGGAAGCGTCTTTTCAACGGACGTTTCCTGTCTCAGCCGACTGCCGGTGTTTTCCAGCGATTGTTCGCCACGACAGATCAAAGCACACGGCCTGGTCGGATCGTAATGTGGATACCATTTTAACAGTTGGCCACTGTACGGCACGTCGTCGAACACGGCGCATTGCTCCGCCCGGAAATCGTTCGGGTTCTCGCAGGGCTGCAATCAAAGAAGGCGCGGATTTTCTTTTGAGATTGCTCTTTTGAGTCAGATCGAACACGATTTTTCGAGATTTTTGATGTTTCGAGGCTTGAAACGAGTCAGAGCACTGGTACGGATAGCATGCACGAATTTGATTTGTTGTAATGTTGTAATCTTGACCGTTTTTATCCAATACGATATTGTTCTTTAATCATGTGATCGTCAAAGGGGATCTCTCTCGTTTCGCAAAGTTCAATGAAAACATCAATTCCCGAAAAATCTTGCAGAGGTCACTTGCGGGGTCGGATTATTATTTAAGTTAATGCAACGAGCAATATTTAATCATGTGAAAGGGCAAGCTGAACGCAACACCATCGCGATTGTTTAAATTGGAATTACATTTCCAAGGTAGCATCGGTATTTCATTTACACCGGCGGATCGCAATAATTCCCGAATTATTTAGCAACAATGCGGCATCCAGCGTTTCGCCATTACTCTCACTTTAGTTGTCTGCAAAGCTGTTAAACGAAGTGTGTCAGCCAGCCTGAGAGATCGTTCAGGGATTTTCACATGGCCGAAGGCAAAGGCGTAGATTTCGACGGAGCAGATCATTACCCAATTGGGTCGAAGCGTTGCTATCGGTATTTTAAGATGTCCACTTTGCAACGTGATCAAAGCGTCACCCTCCTCCTCGAGCCAACCGAAACCGCTTGGAATCACTTCGTTTCTCATGTAAATCGCGAATTACCGGTGCATTTTATTTAAAATTATTTGATCGCCGAGCGTGCACGCCTTTTGCAATATCGCCAGCCCGTTTCCCATTTTGATCTCCCTCCCTATTGTAAACGTTATTCTGTTCGGTGCCATTTAATCGTTTCGCGTTCAATTAGCCGCGTTATCATTCTCTCTCTCTCTCTCTCTCTCT